GGTGACTTTATAATTACTAGCAAGGACTCGTCTAACCCTTAATAGTGGTGTCAAGACTCCAGAGACTAAACAATCTTACTATATATTAAGCGAGACGATATATATCCGTACCATTTTACTGACACCACGGCATCAACTTTAACATGACTTTTCGCAAAAACTGCCACGTCTCCTGTCCCTACATTAGTACTAAATAGGAATATCGTCAAACTTATTTGTTCGAATCTTTTGAACTTTTTAAACGGTTTTTACCATTTCTTTTTAAAAGGTTCGTTCTCACTGTACGCACAGTTTTTGTTCCATAATAGCCATTGCACTCTAAAGCTTTAAATAAGATATATCTCTATTTCCTTCGTAGTATATTATAGTACTAAAATCTAAATACGAATCTCAAGTATTGTAACGAATCTTTCGAATATTTGTCCCATCCTTAAATGCTTTAAAAGCTTGGTGCTCACCGCTCAAACCCAGCTTTTGTCCCCCTAAGTATTTAAATACTGACAAATGGTATATATTCAGACGAAACTTCCAAAAGTCTCTATTTCTTTCGCAGGGTGCCCTACTAACAGTGTCACGATCTGATTTGCTGCAAAAATACAACCGGATTTCAAAAAAGGCCGGTTGTATTTTAATCGGCCTTCTATACCGGAGAAACAACCAACTGTAACTATTGCTCCTCTAACTCGTTTATTGTCACAGCCGCACGCATATGCTTACTATTTGAACTTACACTTTTATCACAAGATATGTTATTTGATGTTTGAACTGACAGCACTCCCTCTGCCCACTGAAGAGTTACGGAATTATGCTACTGATGAGGATGCTACTGATGAGGATGCTACTGATACTGCTAAACTCTTCGCCCACTGTATCCAGCAGTAAGTATACCTTATTATGGTTTTATATTTGTGTGGACATATAATTCCATAATTCGGTCATTTTAGACCCTAGTTGGTTATGACCTCCATTCCCCCTCCCGCATCTGTATATCATTTTGATTTAGCATAAAGCTGTTTTTAGGCCATTGAATGTAAGCTGACCAAATGAAATTTGGTCAGCTTACGTAAACACTTATGTTTTACTGAACCTAAATTAGTTTGAGCAATTTCGATGGTCAGAATTTGAGTTATCAACGAATTTATACCTATTTTGTCATTTTCAGACCTTTTAATCAAGGCTAATCTCTCCCAACTAATTTAGGTTCGGTAGTTAAGTATGATTAGAAGGTTCTGGCAAATTTTCAGCATGATTCATGATCAGGAACCGAAGATATGACAAAATAATACGCCAAAACTCAACGAACTTCGTCAAATTACACGACTTTTACACCTAAGTAATTTTGCTCCTAAAGCCGCGCACCATCAAATATGGCACTTAGGCGAAACTCACTGATCATTCAAAAAAGGTATGACAAATTTGGTACTGTGAAAATTCTCACAGTCTCTAGAAAACAATGGCACACAAATTTTGAAAATCCGAGCAAGTTTATTTTTATCGTGCACCCCTACTGTTGTGTAGATATAACAAACCTAGGATGGCTTCTAATCGGTAACCGATTAGTAATGATTTTATGATATTTAAAGAACAAAATGTTTTGAAAATTTTGAAAATGTATAGAAGGGGGGACAAATAAAATGGCATACATTTTAATTAAAAAAATGGAGAAAATAGAAAAACCTTTTATTTGGGTAAATTGACATTTATGCTATTTTATGACATCCCCCTACCCTCATCGGCATGTTACTCAAACGTATACTCACCTACAATCTGCTGTTAGAACATGAGTAGTATATGATGCATTTACTACTAATATATAGAAAAACCTTTGATTATTGCGAGCAGCTGTAACTTAAATATCGCATAAAAATCATATAATTACAACTCAAAACTAAAATTTTATTGGAATATAGGTTAAACTAAGATAAAATTAATGTCAGACCCGTTGCCACTCTCAGCAGTCAACCAGGGCTCATAAAAGCTTAACAGCGCCTGGGTCCGTTCAACAACTGTGCTAATGTAAGTGGTGTAGTGGTAAAACTAAAAACCCTTTTTACAGCGTGAAACTGAATATTTATCAAATACAAGCGCGCTAGCTGCTAGCATACTTGTGTCATTTAATTTTAAATCAAATTTATTCGGATATATATTTATTGATTATGTATTGAATTGGTGATAAATAATAAAATTGTCTTTTCTCAACAAAAAAATTGTCTTTTCTCAATTTACTACTAACATGTTATCGGGAGTAAATTTGAGTAATCCGACCTTCTTTTTATCGTGCCGAAATAGAGAACGAAATCAATTTCCAAAAACCTCTTCACTCAGGCAACGCAAAGTTCTATTTGCTTAACGGCAAGGGGCTCCAAACAACGAACGGTTTTGGCATGCTGATCGTTCAGATGGACCAAAGCTGGGGGCCTGTTCTGAACGGCCTTGAAGCATACGGAGAGGACTGTTTGCCTGACCACCTCTGCCGAACAATGGGATACAACCACGCAATCAGCTGGCTGGCACAACCCAGCCACTACTCTAAGTCTACGCTAGGTAACTCCATGTTCACTTTCAACAACATCTCCTGCCCAGCGGACCACGATGTTAACTGCAATGTTAGCCACAATTCAAGCACGCTGTATAGCATTAAAAAGATAGAACACAATATTAACAAACAAACTACACATCTGTTTTGCGGTACATTTAGCGGATCATGTCCGATAGTTGAGAGGAATAACTTCCTTAAGAGAGTGTGCTTTGAAGATCTGGGTCTGACAGTACTCCAGTGCCCCTACTCTGATACTCTCTACATAACCCTTGACCAAACTACCAACTTCGCTGAATTCGATAAAGTCTGTGACAACGACCCTCATTTCTACCAGGGCTGTGGTTTTGGGAAATCTCCGGATATAGTAATGGACTCCGCAACATTTTGCAACAAATATGTTTGTACAACTGAACAGAAAGTGAACGAGGAAGTGAAAGAAAAAGTGTGGAACACTGGAATTCTTCCCGTCTGCACGATGTCATCCGATAGGATTTGTTTTGATCAACCATGTTACCAGTCAAATTCGATAAATGTCCAATCGAAATCTAGACTAGGCTGTTATAATCTAGATCTACCAGAGGAGTTGTGTGCTGGTACGAATGAAGCAAGAACCACAGTGCAGCTGAGGAGCGGCCAGGTAGTGTACCAGTCTACTGTATGCAATGGTAAGTGTGATGCCCACTACAGATGTGAAGACGAAGCTTTCTGTGGCGGTTACCTGTACGGTGTTTACTGTGTTGGTCACCGTCACAACTTTAATTACGTTAAACCAAGCGATGTGTACGAATATGTCTGCAACGGGCAGGTCTCTCACCTGTGCTTAACAAAATATGACGTAGAAATAAAGTGTCCAGATCTTGAGTCCTTGGCAAGCCACGAAAAATGCCATAAGTTTACCGGTTCATTTAGAGAACAGACTGCTTCCAGTTGGGTGGTGTCCATTCTGAACAGGACGAGATGTACCGCCCTCTGGGGAATCGACCTTTACGCTGATCCATACATGATCCCAGTGTGTAGTAACTTCCTGGACCAGACAAACTGCACGGATCCCTACCGGTCAAAAGTGACGTGTGAAGTGGGCGGGTATATCTCAACCATATCCGAATATTTTGTATGCCATGGCCAACTGAGGATCCCCTCGTTATGTGACAGTGGCATAGACCAAATCTGTGAAACATTATCTGCAACTTGTCAGATACATAAACACAGGATGTGCGATAAAATTGAGGATTGTCTCGATGGGACTGATGAGACATTAGCCATCTGCCGCACCATGACAAAAAAGGTGTGTCACAGAGCCTACAATCACGAGCAGGCACTGGAAATACCTCTGGAGTGGGTGGGGGACGGGGTGGAGGACTGTTTAGACGGGATTGATGAGAATGACGGGTGGCAAACTTGTGGTATTGGTCGGACTAAGCGCAATGTAGTGTCAGTTAATCAACCCTGTGAGGAGGTCCTCCTTTGCAGGAACGACCAGACAGCCTTCGTAGAGTTTAAAGATCTCTGTGATGGTATTGATACCTGTGGAAACGAGGAAGGGATCTGTAAGAGCTCACATATTATCACATCCACATTTAACAACGCATTAACTGTTAATAAAGCAGCGGGAATTGAGAAGGTTTTCTTGTATTGCTTGCCTGGTCTTGAGAGCCTGCAGGAGATTGCAGGGCAATGCGTTGTCAGTGAAGTCAATCTATCAGGCATGGAGGTCTTCGGAGTCAAATCAGTTTTAACAATTTTCCGTCCTAATAAAACCATCAACTGCGATCATACTTTTGGAGAAATCTACGTGACACTGAGTTGTGCAGGGTATTGTGAAGACTCTATTTGCCCCTTGAAAAACAAGATCCAATACAATTCTTGTCCTCAGCAATATCTTAACAGAGTATATACTGTGGCTGACAATTCTTTCATTTCGTTCGTCACTAAATCAGGTAATCATTACAAAAACGATTACTTCCGCTGTGAGAATAACATTTGCTTAAACTATAACCAAGTCTGCAATGTGGTGAATGATTGTGGGGACGGCTCTGATGAAGAGAACTGCACTAACGTGTTTCAGTGTAAATCTAAAGAACAGCTCATCCCCATTACTGAGAAGTGTGATGGAAACACAGATTGTCAGGACTTTTCTGATGAATGTAACTCTGACTGCGGGAAGAATATCCTACAGAACATGTTTCTCAAGGTCCTATGTTGGGTTCTAGCTCTCCTGGCCATAGTTCTCAACCTCACTACAATATTCAAAACTTCAACTGATTTCAATGATAAAATGTCAAAAGCAGCTCTAAACAACAAAATGCTGATACTTCTCATAAACATAGGAGATCTGCTAACAGGAGTTTACCTGATGAATATAGCGGTAATGGACACAATAGTGTACGGGAATAGCTACTGTATTGAGAGACTGGAATGGCTCACTAGTGCTCATTGTTCCTTGATTGGTGTTATCAGCACT